ATTCTTTCGATAATAAATTGTTACTTGATTTTATTGTTACAACTCGTTGCAAGCTTTTGCGTTTATCCGATTTCCGCACTGAGAAAAAAAATAGTTAATACAAACAGGTTTATGATTGATACAACAATTCAGCAGTTAACTCAACGGTTTGTCTGTCGATTTAATGGGCCCTCTGTTAACCTAACAACGAAACTATCAATTTTACAGACCTCAGCTGTTGATTTGATCCCGCTCATACTTTTGAAATGGTGTAACAGCGGAATTTTGTTGTTTTAACATCAACTCTGTTGTTCTGACATCGAGTTGGTTAAAAAATAAGTTAGCATTGTTAAATTCAATAGCACGTTGATATCAAAACGACAAACAAATATTTTGCTAACACAATTTCAACATTGCCTTGATACAACCATAAGTACTATTATTTAAACAAAATGTATATTGAATGAACGTATTACATATCATATCAACTTACTAATATATGAAATCAATATAAAATTTAATATTAGATTAATAAAGTTTCCGAAAAATCGTTGCTTTCTTTAAATTAAATATTTCTTATGGAAATTTGTATTTCGTAAAATTTTTGGCATTAAATTTGAGATGTAAGTACGTCTCATGCCTATCTATCGCATTCGATAACATAGTCCAGCACTATAGCCCCGATAAAAAGAAACCTCAGCTGCAGTGTCACCAAATAGCCTAAACAAAAGCCGGCATGCGCATAACGCATAGAGACGTATGCATCGGTATCGCGGCACGTGTTTAGTTGCATAACCTTATCTAGCGCTAAAATGGGAGAACAAAGTGTCTTTGAAGTATTGCTTGACCTAGGATACGAAAAGTTCACGAATATTTTCGAAGGTAATTACAGTACATATTACTTATTCATATTTTGAAATCTGCGAATTTGTTTATGCAAAAAACACTTTGTAGATAATGGCATTGGCGTTCGGGAGTTGAAACAAATTTCATTCACACAAATCAAAAACATTTTACCCCCTAATAAATTGGACCAATTTTGGAAAAAACATCAGGATTACTTTTCCAAGGAAGTATACGTAAGTACATGTTAAATCGTAGTTCGTTTTATCGGGGTATAAAAGAATAACATTGTGCATCAATTAAAACCAACATTACGCAACCGATAATGCATAGAAAACATAACCTTCTTTGTAAACTTGGAATTGTGTTATTTCATTGAATTTTATTTTTGACAGAATACTTCGTGTTCTTCTGACTTGGCTAATACATCACTCGTGTCAAGAACGCCATTTCAAAACCTTAGCAACTTAGAGGACGCTAACAATTCAATTTTTGCAATTGAAAATATCAACGTATCTGACATTCTGAACGATACCTTTGAAGGGAGAAACATCATTATTTGGTATTCAAATAAACGCAGTTTAACTTTGTCAAAGAGGAAAAAAGTGGTGCATCTGTTAATGTGCGCAGTTCTTAGATTATGCAATAGGTTAGTAGAATAATTTAATCAATTACTTATTAATGCATTTTTTTCAATATTATAATTTACGTTTGTAGGCCTCTTGAAAATCCTGATTTTTTGGTTCTCTCAAGAAAAATCACAGAAGTTTTTCCTTCTGAATTAGCTATTGTATATTACATTCCGCCGGTTTCCAAAAGTAAATCACCCAATGGCAAACGTCAAAAAGCTGCAGGGAAATTACTGAACAAATACAACAATCTCAAACGTTTACCTACAGGAATATATAAACCTTCTCATTGTGCAATACACAATTCTGATGAAAGTGATGAAGAAAATGTTCCTGTACAAGTCCAAATAAGTATAAACTGGCTGCGTACAAAAGAAGAGCCCTGGGAAGAAGCTAAAACACATTGGACGAATACCTACAATCACAGACATCCTTGCACAGAAAAACGAGATAAATTTGTGAGCAGCACATTTGATGCTTGGGTAATTTTGAAGTGCGTGAAAGGTTATACACTCATTGATATAGATTTTCGTTTGAGTGGTATATGCAAAATTGAAAAGGCCATTGCCCATTTCAATAGCTTTTATTCAAAAGTGGCTGACGTACGGTCTCCTCCACATGAGGAATTATGCAACACAATGAAAGAATTATTAGAGCAAGAAGGTTTAAATGAAGGTATATTTGATTATTTTATTACTTTTTCTATGCGATGGATTTTAAAAACAATTTACATTTTTTTAGACTCTGAAGTTTTCATCAAGTTAATGCTACTGTCATACTTGTTGCCATCAACTGCAAGAATCTCTACTGGCAACCGAAAGCATTAGAAACCGACGTGCATGGAAAGCTTCGAAGGAATAGTAACTCATATAAAGGTTTATTTACAATTATTCACAGATAATTCATTTACAACATATTTACAAATTCTATACAAGCATATAAAGTTATTGTTAAAACAATAACTTAATTAAATTAAATATTAAAGTGATAAAAATTTGCAGTGTTACGGGGATATACAGAAAACTAAAGAAGAAAAACGTCTCTTTGCCAATAGTAAAAACATCACGCTTCAACCATATATTATAACAGTCGGCGAACAAGATTTTCAAGTGAATTCGGTCTATTTAATGATTGATGAAAATGAATATGAAATACCGTCTTTAACCGAAGCTATTGATTATTGTTTCAAGTCTTTCCACGTGTTTTGTGCTAAGTACCCACGGCAAAGCGAACATCTGTGGCTTTTACTTCAACATGGAATTTATCAGTTTCGCACACGATGGGATCCATAACTATTAAATGTCGATGAAATGTTGAATGATATTAATTTGATTTTACCGCCATTAAACTCGAAGTAGGTATCAAGTATTACACGTGTAGCATAGTTCTAGTAAAATTTCAGATGCAATTATTCTATGATATATACTGTTTGTACTTTATAATGCTGTTTGTGTTCGTATACGTTAAGAATTGATACCGATAGCGTTTCAATATGACTGTGGTTGAATGCCCTTTATGTAATTATAATTTTACCACCATAGAAACTTTTTCACAACATTTAAAAATATTTCACAAAGGCTCTTCTAAATGTATCTGTAAACACAAAAATTGTATGAGAATTTTTAGTAAATTATCAACTTTCATTCAACACAGTAAATCACATTTTGATGACAAATACGATAGACCAGAGTGTGCACAGACTGTTCAAAAAGAATCTGAATGTTTACATTTGGAAAATTTGTTATCTGAAACTAACTTTACATTTGACTTGGAAACTATTTTAAATTCAAAAGATCAATCATCCATTGTCGGGGAAAAGCCTAATGAAATTATTTTTAAACAAAAGTATTATGAAAAAGATATATCTAATGCCGCGGACGTTCTTATGTCGTCCTTGTATGCAAAGTCTTCTTTGCCTTTGAAAGAAATCATATTTTTTATGAAGGCATTCGAAAATTTTTATAATGTGCACTTAATCGAAAAAATTAAGACGCTTAACAAGGCAATGATACACTGTGATGATTTGACTAAGGTTATAAATTTAATGAAAATTGCATTTCAAAATTATTCCACTTATTATAGATCTATAAAATCGTTAAAACGTTTATTTTATATTGAACCAGATATAGTACATGTATCTAACGTTTTGAGAGCTAAAAAAGTAGTTAGGAAAAAAATATATACTTCTATGAAAATTTCTGTAGTCAGTATACCGTTGAGAAAAGTTTTGAAAAACTTTTTAGAGCTACCAAATATATACTCTTCTATTATAAGCTATATTAATACAAATGAAAAGTGCGTTTGCCTATGCTCAATTTTTCAAAGTGAGCGGTGGAGAGAGATAAAGAATAGATTTTTAAACAAAATTCTTTTACCTCTAACGTTATTTGGAGATGATTGTGAGATAAATAATCTTATAGGATCTAGAAGAGGATGTAATAAATTGCATTGTATTTGTTAAAAACGTAAGCGGCGCACACTACACTATTTCAAAAAAAAAAAAAAAAAAAACGCGCGTGAAACATGCACCAGGAACCATCCCTGGGCCTAAACACTTGGCATAGCTTCATCTTCATATTTGTAATACGCTCGTAAAAATTTATACGCGAAAAGAAAAGAAAAATGTAGCGACTACGATCAAAAATTTGTAACGATACGCCTATTCACGCCTATCTTCTCGAAATGATTCACTATCCACTTGCTCAGCACTAGCTCGACCCATAGACGTGGACGTTTGCGCATTCCGCAGAAACGTCGCCGTGAAGCCGTCATATCAGCTCCGAGAAATGCTCTCGGAGGCTGCAGGCCTTACGAGGGATAAGCCCTCGTATCGTGAGCAAATTCAACGGGGAAGGGAGGCTAGCGAGGAAAACCTGGCTAAATCAACCTTCGGTCCGGTAGGCTGGCGAGCGGGGGTGCAGGCAAGAGGAGAGGGGAGAACGGAGAGAGAGATAAGGTCGTGAGGGCGAGTCGAGAAGGCGTGATACGAAAAGGCCCAAAATTGCGGGAAATTTACGAAAAAGAGAGAAATCAAGATTATGAAAAAATTAAAAGAAGGGCAATATGCGACAAAAACGGAACCATGAAAATTTTATTGATTAAATTTGAAGAACGATTAGTGTCGTGAATACATGCGCATTTGTTTATTAAAAATTGACAGCGTAAATGCACGATAAATTGTTTTATATATAACAACGAATGTTATTTCCATAGCAACGAAGGTATTTAAAAGGGAGCGCAGAGTGTCTCACCAGGCTCTCTCTTCTTTTTTCTTCAATCGTGGTTCAATCACAATGTATTAAAATTCAACCTTGTGACATTTTGATTCTCTGGTGCGGTATCTTTAAGTTTTATTGCGAACTATAAATAAACTTTGGTTCTAGTGTTGTGTTAATTTCATTGTAAATAAAAAAAAAAAAAAAAAACTGTGGTTCCTGCTCAATCCTCAACCCTTACAATTGGTGCCCCGGGTGAGGATCCTCGATAAATTTTGAGCAGGACAGTTCTATTCAGCTCAGGATCCGTAACCACGTTCACCTCGTTTCCACGATGGCACCGAGGAAACGCCAAGCGGCAGCAGCAACACGGAGCAACCAACAAAAAAGACGGCGCCGCGCTGAGATTATCGAAGAAAATCTCAATCAAGTCATCGAGGCCGTCGTGATACCAGAACCAGAACCAGAAGCTACCCCTGCCCGCAGAGTTACACGACAAAGGCAGCGAGAACCAAGAACACCGAGATTTCAACAACAGCAGCAGCGGCAAGATGCTGCACTACCCAGTGAAAGACGACGTCCAAATCCTGTTTACCCACTAGAGGCAGAGGTAAACATCATCGAACCAACTCCGGCTACATCAACTCCTCGAAGGCAGCAACACCCCCAAGACATCAACGTCAACAGCACCGGCGGATCGAACAACTACAATGCAGGTACCACGCTGAACAATGCGTCAATTACACGTGAGACTCCCGTAGAAAATGCGATGCTTCTTTTGTCCGAAACTTTAATCGAAACGATGAATGTGATTCGCGAAGGCGCGTCGATCAGGAATTTTTTGCGTACGTCGGAGCAACACGAAGTTGACAGGAAATTACCCGAGTTCTCAGGCAGACCATTGCAGTGGCTGCATTTTTATAAAACCTACGAGGAAACGGCAGACTTGTTTAGCGCTCGTCGCAACATATCGCGTTTAGAAAAGGCATTGTCGGGAGAGGCTAGAAAACTTGTAAAGACACTGCTGTCTATCACCGATAGCCCAACCGTAGTTGTCGACGAGCTAAAGAAACACTTCGGGAATAAATTTTTAATCGCGAAAGACATTGTAAAAGATCTTCACTCGTTACCATGCCTGAAATCCGGAAAAAGCAATTTATCAGTGTTTGCGACTCAATTAAAAAGCGGCGTCGAGGCCCTTCAGGCGTTAAATATGAGTGAATATTTAAGTAGCATCGATCTACTAATGAGCGTTGTGAATAAAATTCCCGAGGACATGAAGTCTACATACTATCGATACGTGGACAGTGCAATGAATTTGCCTGCTGATGCGTCGTTACTACAGAAATTAACAATGTTTTTATCAAAAGAATCGGATATGGCCATGCGTGCGGGAATTTTTGACATTGAAATGGCATCTTCGAAAAGCGGGAATGAAAGCGGTGCGAGAAAACATGCGAAAACTACGCGATCCGGGGTAGTATGCACAACAATCAATGGTGCTGTTGAAAGCAGCAACGACAAAATACAGTGCAGATGTCAGTTTTGTGATCGTAGCAACCATGACATAAGCGCTTGTGAAAAATTTCAAAAAGAAACCAGCAATCGCCGCTGGTCCTTTATCAAGCGTATGAAGCTCTGCTTTAAGTGTTTGGGTACAGGTCACCGGCGTGAGCAATGTCAATCGAGAATTATATGTGATATCTGTCAAAAGAATCACCACACTCGTTTACACACCTTTAGGAACGATAAAAATCGAAACTATTCGGACGATAAGAAAGGTCGCGATAATGAGCGAAAGGAACATCCGAGTAGTCGCCAGGGACGCGACAAACTTAGAGATCACACGCAAGGCATTGATTCGACCGACAAAAAAGACTGACTAGGCGGGAGAAAGGGCCTTTTGCGCATAGTACCATTAAGCATTAAAGGTTCGAAGGAAGCGGTCGCAACGTACGCCTTACTAGACGGGGGATCAACAATTACGTTATGTGATTCAGAGCTTGCGCGTCGCGCAGGAATTGATGGAAAAACGATCGAAATAAATTTACACGGATTATACAGTAGTGCAGATAGTGTAAAATGTCAAAGAACTAGTTTCGCCGTGAGTGGACCTTTCGGTGTATAGAAAATTGAACACGCAATTATAGTTCCTCGCTTGGAACTACCGCGGCAATCTTTGTCTATAGAAGTCGTACAGCGCGTAAAGAGAATACTTGACATCGAACTTCATCCGTTTGAGAATGTTAGATTGGGCATTATCATAGGACAAAACAACTGGCCGCTAATCGAGTGCGACGAAGTATTACGGGTCGAGAACACCGGATTCGTGATTTCTCACACGCATTTAGGTTGGTCGCTACACGGTTACATCGAGGAAAAATCACTAAGAAGCGATGTACTAGTGCATTTTTCTTGTTTTACGAAAAATGATGTGAAACTCTGTGATCAAGAACGGTTATTTGAACTAGACAATATAGTACATAGGTATTTAGAATATGAAAGTCTCGGTATAGAACAAGCGAAACCATCTCAAGATAAAAATGAGCGAGCCATAGCGATCTTAGAAGCGACGACTAGGAAAACGGGAAGCGAATGGGAAACGGGCTTATTATGGAAAGAGGGACTGATGCCGGAATTAAATAGCAGAGCAACTGCACTGCGTCGTCTTTATTCGTTAGAGCGCAAATTAGATAATAACCCGTCTTTCGCCACGCGCTATTACAAAGAAATGGAGAGGTTAATTGAGAACGGCTACGTCGAAAAGGTCAAAGAGAACGTGAGGCGACCGCGAGTATGGTTTGTGCCGCATTTTGGGGTTGAGAACCCAAACAAACCCGATAAAGTACGCTTAATATTTGACGCAGCCGCGCGAACTGGGGGGGTATCCATGAACGACTTACTCGAGACTGGCCCCGGTCTACTCGAATCGTTGGTCGGCGTCTTGCTTAGGTTTCGTCAACACGCGATCGCTGTAAAAGCAGATATAAAGGACATGTATCTGCGGATCAAGTTGATAGAGCGTGATCGAGGGGCACAGCGTTTTTTATGGCGAGGGGCAAACCGTAGTTGTGAGCCAAGTGTTTGGGAAAATGTAAGCTTGATTTTCGGTTCAAAATCGTCACCGTGCAGCGCAATCTATGTCAAAAACAAAAACGCCGAACGTTTCGCTCTCGAAAAACCCGAAGCCGTGCGCAGCATAATAAAGAACAGCTATATGGATGACTATCTCGCATCGGGGAAGTCAGCCGAAGAAATGCGAGAACGTGTCCGCAACGTAATTGCCATCAACCGCGAAGCAAACTTTAATATGCACGGTTGGGCGTCCAACGATCCGAACGTCATCAACGACGTACACGACGATTACAAAAGCAAACTTGCCCGAACAAACTTATGCAACAACGACGAACGCGTATTAGGTCTTTACTGGGATCGGATGGAAGATACATTTAGCTTTAATGTAGGCCTTGAGAAAATTCGTGCAGAACTATTAAGAGGTGATGCTATACCAACCAAACGGGAAGTCAGCAGTATAGTGATGTCAGTGTATGATCCTTTGGGAATAATATCACCATTCACCATTCAAGCCAAGTTGATCCTGCAAGATGTTTGGCGTAGTGCCGTCGGTTGGGATGAGCGCATTCGTGACGACGAGTTCGAGTTTTGGCTCATATGGTTAAGAAACCTTCCGCGAATGCAAGTCTGTAAAATATCGCGTTATTTGAGATTCAGAAAAATCGACGCGCAAACACAACTACACACCTTCACCGACGCAAGCACGAAAGCTTATGCGACAGTCGCGTATCTTAGGATAGAAACAAATAATGGGGATGTTCAATTATCACTCGTGATGGCAAAGGCACGAGTCGCACCAAAGAAGCCCATGACAATCCCGCGGTTAGAATTACAGGCGGCTCTGTTAGGCACAAAGATCGCGGCCACCATAGAACAAGAGTTAGACATTAAAATAGGGAAGCGAGTTTTTTGGTCCGACTCTTCGACAGTGTTACACTGGATTCGTGGGGAGCCGCGAGAAAAGCAGGTATTTGTGGCCAATAGGTTGGGCCAAATAGGCGAGTTGAGCAAAGTCTCAGAATGGCGTTGGGTCCCAACGAAATTGAACCCCGCAGACGACGCAACAAGACAATCAAACAAGCCAATGCTTTCGGAGGATCGTTGGTTTATCGGCCCCGAATTCTTGCGCGAGCGGCCTGAATCATGGCCAAAAGAGAAAGCCTTGCAAGCGTGTAAAAAACAAAAAATAGACGAACAAGAATCGCGCAAAGCATATATAGGTGCGACTTTCATTACCGAACCTACTAAATGGGAAGTTCCGCTCGAACTAAGGATATTAGGCTGGTCGAGAATAGTAAGAACAATGCAGAGTGTAAGAAAGTTCTTCTTTATCTGGAAACAAAAATCTCGCGAGAAACGCGTTCAGACAAATAGACGTAGTAAAACTAGAACGCACAACTCGTCACCACAAAACGCAAACGAATCGACAAAAAATGGTTTAGAGGCAATATTCGAAGCTGAAAAAACGTGGTTTCGTTTAATTCAGTCTGCACACTTTCCACGAGAACTTGAGACACTTCAGAAAGGGAAAGAGTTACATCGAGGTAGTAAATTAATAAACATACAGCCTTACATTGACAAGCACGGTTTGCTACGCGCGAGAGGTCGGGTCTCAAAATTCTGTTCCACGCACTTTCAAAATCAACCAATAATCTTAGACGCTAAGCATTATGCCACGAAACTTTTAATAGCCGAATTCCATCGTAAGTTCGATCATGCGAACAACGAAAACGTCATCAACGAACTGCGCCAACAATTCTATATTGTTGGTTTGCGCACGAGACTACGATGGCTCGCAAAAAATTGCGTCACGTGCCGTTTACGCCGAGCGAAACCTATGAACCCTCCGATGGCCGACTTACCTACTTGTCGTTTAGCCAGTGGTCTTAGGCCCTTTACTCACTGTGGAATCGACTATTTCGGTCCCATGGAGGTGAAAATTGGGCGTCGCCGCGAGAAGAGGTGGGGTGTGCTCTTTACATGTATGACGACGCGAGCAATACATGTAGAAATAGCACATACTTTGAACGCGAGCTCAACTATCATGGCTATTCAGAGATTGGGGGGCAGGAGGGGGTGCCCGCGGGAAATCTATAGCGATAATGGCACCAATTTCGTAAGGGCAAATAAAGAATTAGCGGAGGAAATTAAAAGCTTAGACATACGGAAGCAAAAACAGTTTGCGGAATCGCGCCGAATTAAATGGCACTTCAATCCGCCTGATGCTCCTCACATGGGGGGAGCGTGGGAACGCCTCATTAGATCGGTAAAAGTTGCCCTAAAACACGCGCTTAACGAGCACGCGCCGTCGGAAGAAGTACTCGTGACTCTCCTCATAGAAATAGAGCATATGGTTAACTCGCGTCCTATGACACATGTGTCAGTAGACCCGCAGGATGAGGAGGCGCTAACGCCTAATCATTTTCTTTTCGGCTCGTCATCCGGACACGTGCAAATAGACAGATATGAAGCAGAAACTTTAAATCCGCGTAAAACCTACGAAATCGCGCAACATCTCGCGAACGGTTTTTGGAAAAGATGGCTGCGCGAGTATCTGCCCACTTTACTTCCGCGCCAAAAATGGAATACTTCAGTTCCAGCGTTAAAAGTTGGCGACATTGTCTTGATCACAGACTATCAAGCGCCGCGAAACACTTGGAAAAAAGGAAAGGTTGTGGAAATCTACCGAAACACCTCCGATCAAGTAGTTAGAATCGTAAAAGTGCGCGCCGGAAAGAAAGATTTCGTTCGACCTGTCAACAAATTAGTAAAAATATTTAGTCCTTTACAGGGAGTCTAAAATTTCAAATAATTCTTAGACTGGGAGGAGATTGTTAAAAACGTAAGCGGCGCACACTACACTATTTCAAAAAAAAAAAAAAAAAAAAAAACGCGCGTGAAACATACACCAGGAACCATCCCTGGGCCTAAACACTTGGCATAGCTTCATCTTCATATTTGTAATACGCTCGTAAAAATTTATACGCGAAAAGAAAAGAAAAATGTAGCGACTACGATCAAAAATTTGTAACGATACGCCTATTCACGCCTATCTTCTCGAAATGATTCACTATCCACTTGCTCAGCACTAGCTCGACCCATAGACGTGGACGTTTGCGCATTCCGCAGAAACGTCGCCGTGAAGCCGTCATATCAGCTCCGAGAAATGCTCTCGGAGGCTGCAGGCCTTACGAGGGATAAGCCCTCGTATCGTGAGCAAATTCAACGGGGAAGGGAGGCTAGCGAGGAAAACCTGGCTAAATCAACCTTCGGTCCGGTAGGCTGGCGAGCGGGGGTGCAGGCAAGAGGAGAGGGGAGAACGGAGAGAGAGATAAGGTCGTGAGGGCGAGTCGAGAAGGCGTGATACGAAAAGGCCCAAAATTGCGGGAAATTTACGAAAAAGAGAGAAATCAAGATTATGAAAAAATTAAAAGAAGGGCAATATGCGACAAAAACGGAACCATGAAAATTTTATTGATTAAATTTGAAGAACGATTAGTGTCGTGAATACATGCGCATTTGTTTATTAAAAATTGACAGCGTAAATGCACGATAAATTGTTTTATATATAACAACGAATGTTATTTCCATAGCAACGAAGGTATTTAAAAGGGAGCGCAGAGTGTCTCACCAGGCTCTCTCTTCTTTTTTCTTCAATCGTGGTTCAATCACAATGTATTAAAATTCAACCTTGTGACATTTTGATTCTCTGGTGCGGTATCTTTAAGTTTTATTGCGAACTATAAATAAACTTTGGTTCTAGTGTTGTGTTAATTTCATTGTAAATAAAAAAAAAAAAAACTGTGGTTCCTGCTCAATCCTCAATCCTTACAGTATTTACTGTAGCATATCTGCGATACCACCTGAATACTCTCGTCAACTAGAGAATATATTTCTTCTACAAATATATAAGTCAGAGTATAAAAAATATATTAAGCACTCAAAATTGTTTTATCCTATTGTAGAACAATTTCTAGACTTACAAAAAAATGGTGTTAATATAACTATAAGTGGTGAAAAGATAACTGTTTTTTTCGACATATTCAATTTAAGTGGGGACAACTTAGAGTTACACACATTATTAGGATTTAATGAGAGTTTCAACTCTAATTTCCCATGTCGAGTATGTTACATGGATAGAACAGAATGCCAAACGGCTACAAAGGAAAAAATAGAACTGATGCGTTGCACGCAAAAACATGCGGTCGATGTCAATACGAAATCATACGGCGTGAAAAACGATTGTATTTTCAATGATATACCAGGATTCGACATATTTACATGTGTATCTTTTGACCCAATGCATGATTTGCTTGAAGGTGTATGCAGATACGTTATTGGTGAAATTATTAATAACTTCATATTTAACGAAAAATTGTTTACTTTTAGTGTACTACAAAAAAAAATAGAAAACTACTGTAATCATAATGCGTCCAATGTTTTAATATCATTAAATATTGATCATATAAAGAAAAAATGCGTTACAATCACGGCTTCTGAGATGAAGTTTTTGATTTTCAACCTTACATTTATAATTGGTGATTTGATTCCACAAAAAAATAAAGTGTGGAATTTGTATCTATCATTAAGAAAAATAACATATTTAATATTTGCTCCTGTATTGACTGAAAAAACTATTTTAGAACTTAAAAAAGAAATTATTAATCACCATTCAATGTACTGTAAGATTTTAAATGGTACATTAAAACCTAAGTATCATCATTTGATTCATTATGTAACAATGATCAAACGGTTAGGTTTACCTCGACAATTCTCTTGTATGAGATTCGAGGGAAAACACAGACCTCTAAAAAATATAGCTAAAGCTACAACGTCTAGGTTGAATTCAGCTAAATCTTTAGCAATAAGAAATTAACAAGAACTGAATTATAGATTTTTCATTAGCAAAGGCTTCCAAAGAACTGTTGTATTAGGTAAAGACTTATTTTCAAGTGTAATTTTTTTAAGTAATTATTCGTTATTTAGAAAAAAATTATCCAAAAATATCATTGATAAATTCGTTGCTATCTCGTGGATCTCAGTAGATGGGATAAAATATTCAGAAAATTCTGTTATAGTAACAAATATTCATGATCAATCTGTAGAATTTGGAAAAGTATTGAATGTTTTGTATGATAGAGAGTTGAATGACATAATATTATTGTACCAAAAACTAACTATTATAAACTATTCTCGTCATTTGTGTGCTTACCAAATCGAATGTGTTGATGAATATAATTATATATCGCTTAAAACTATCAAAACTGTTTATAATTATCAGAAATTAAGTGACTCTAAATGCTATGTATCTTTTGATGTATAATTTAACATTGAATTCAATAAAGATCGTTAAAAATTACATAAGTATCACATTTTTATTTACTAATTAATCCGAAATTTTAAATATCCGCATATGAAAAAATCCGCTAATGGCAATTTTTCAATACAAGGTCGCTAGATGGCTACGATTTACGCAAGCGGTTGGAAATTCTTAGCATTAGTATATAAGGACAGTTTTAAACGGATATAATAATCAAACCAAAGCGAAACATGTGGGTTTGTCACCATCACTGCGTATAATAAATTGTATATAGCGACTTCCGTGCGGAATTTGTTAAGCTTCAATATAATGTATAAATATGTATATGTATGTATATGTGTACCTGCAACGTCTCTGATAATAATATGACATCCGATTTTAAAAGTCACGTGTATAATTGATTGAAGATATAAGCCTATTTCTCTACGTGAAAGAAGCACAATTTTTTCAAAAAAATTTTCGTTAATATCATTGATTCGATTTATAATATATCGTTGATTCGATCGCAGTATTCCGAATGAGTCAACAAAATCTTAGGTTGGGTTAGCTACTGTAAGTATTTCATTCTGCAAGCTCATATAATCAATTTAACACCATACAGTATGTAAAATTAGTATAGTGGATGTCCTTGATCGAACAACCGCGTCTATTTAACCAATGACATAGCTTTAGTCAATCCAATAATCTTACGGTATCAAATTAACAGACAGAGTCGACGTCAAACCAATATTTCGCTATTCTTAATTTAACAATTGATTCTCTGTTACTCCATTACAACAGACAGAATCTTGTTAAATCAACTAATTTTATTTCTCAGTGCGAGAAGCAACATTTACTCGTTTCCCGAAGAAGTACTTGGTACATCTTGTAAAATCGGTTTTGAAATATTTCTATTTTTATTTAATTTATTGTTCTTATTATTCAACTTACTATTTTCAATTGTTATGCTATTAATTTGTTGTTCTTCGCCACTATCTTTTTGAGTATGACGTAAACTAATATAATCATCATTATCCAAAGACGATAAAACTTTAATAAATTCTAATATCTTTTTTATATGTCTAGCTTGAACTAATAAACGTACATCTTTATCAAAATGTCGAGACAATTTATCTATTAATTCTTCTTCGTCTAAATTTTAATTTATATCAAAAACTAAATTAATTTTACGTATAGCATAATTACAACGTGATAATTTTCCACCAAAATATTTTCGCGAGTAATATTTCTACGTATTTCAGTGTTCCAAAATTTCTCTTTAAATAATATTTCAAAATCTTCAAAATTTCTAATTTCACGCTGTACTAAGTCATACCAAGAAGAATTTACTCCCGTCATAGATTAAGATAACAAACATAACAATTGAGCAGTGTTTAAATACTTTACTGGTCGATATTTATAACTATCGTCAAAAACTGGACACGTTAAAGCAGGTTGCTTAACTGTTTCAATAATAGTTTCATTAACAATAGATCTATTTTGATCATTATTCTTAATTTTATCAATATTCTCACGAAGTACTGAAAATGTTTCATTCATTTCCATGGTAACATTATTTTTCGCTCGAATAATATCATTGAAATTATCTTCACATCTATCTTTTAAAATAGAAATAATTTCATTTGATTTTTCTAAATTTGATTCTAAATTCTTAATTATTTGATCTTGTTTGTTATTTTAAGAAAAGATAGTCAATCGTATCGTGGAATGATTTATTAGAGTTGGAAGTTTCAACAAAATTAAAAGAGTTAATCTACGCGTGTATAGGACGAACGCTAAAGCACGAGGCGCACTCATCAGCGGCTCGAGACATAGTGTGTGACACGCAGTCCAAAAGCGTAACTTATCAGTGCCCTTTAGCAGACACATAAATAATTAACTTATATCGATAAAGCAGATATTTGCATTTTCTAATACATTTAACATTGTTCAATTATTTTATTAGTCAATCTATCAACTTTATTGCTCAAATTGTTAATAGTTTCACAAATTGTTTCAAAATCATTTTGCAACTTAAACTGATAAGTATGAAATGTCTTTAATTCATCTACTACAGCTCTTTCCCATTCGTGCGTTCTTTTTTGCTGCACGGTTAATTCTTCACCAATTTGTGATTCACTAAGTTCGTTTAGAATTGTTTCGGTAGCACACTCAGTAGAATTATACATTGGACGTTTTTCGTTCGACATTGTAATATCAACTCAAAAAAATCCAAAGTATAAAATTAATTCAACACCAATAATAAATAATGTATAGATAACATTAATCAATTAATTTTAATAATATATAAGATTTGACAAAGAATTAAACAAATTCAAGTTGTATATTCTAATTATCAAATTTATTATATAAATAATAATACAAATTATGCGCCAGGAGCTGGTCTAGATGCCAATATATGCTCTACTGTATCAGCTAAATGATTCAAATCAGAACTTATATTTCTTAAACTAGTATCAAATCATCTCCTATCTTTCTTA